TTGTCCTGACCATGTCAACTTTTCAGCAGAGTCAATTCTCTTACCAGATTCTAGGAATCCCATTTACCCATCACTAGGACAGCGTTTTTCTTTTACATTTTATTATTTAGTTACATGACTGCCTCTTCCACTGCACTGAGCAATTCTCTAGGTCAGGTACTATTTTTCTTTGTGTCTGTAGAACCTGAGTGCATTCTTTTGAATTCAGAGCTGCCTGCTGTTTCTGTGAACTGCTTCCAGCAGAGATAGGGTCAGCCTGTTCTCTGAGCAGGGGAAGGACTCCTAGGACCCATAAGAAAGCAGAAACAAGCTGGACAGTGTCTGAAAACAGCTCATTGGGAAACAGGAAGCACCATGCAGATCAGAAAAGTATAGCTAGTTTAGGTTGATGTGGAGGTGGCTCACATTCTTTCTGTCATTCCTATATCACTGTGTGAGATAACTGTTGYTTTAGTTATATTTTTGTTTGTTTGTTTGTTTTGGGGTCTCTCTGACCAAAACACCTGACAAGAACAATTTAGAGGAGAAAGTTTATTTGGATCCTGTGGTTTCTGAGGTCTTAGCCTACAGACGGCCAATTCCATTGTTCTGGGCCCAAAATGAGGCAGAACATCATGAGAAAAGGATCCAGGGGAGAAAAGCTACTCAGTTTATGGCAGCCTCAGGAAGTAGTAAGTGGAGTCGGGGTCACAGAGAAGATTCAGGCTTCTGGTATTCACCCCAGTGACATCTCCTCTGGCCATGCCCCACCTTCCTACAGTTACCACCCAGTCATTCCATTCAAAGTAGTATGGACTGACKAGGTTATAGCTCTCATAATCTAATCATTTCACCTCTGAATATTCCTGCATTCAAAGAAGCTTTGGSGGGATATCTCATATTTAAATCATAGTAACTATGGAATAAATTTATTCACAGCTTGGAGACAAAAATTAGTGATTATAAAGACAAGTTACTAGGGGGAAAAATGGTGATGAGTAGAGGAAAGCAGAAAAGTCTCTCAAGAAAAATCACATACATAGATGTTATGTGTTTGGGAACAAAGATGGAAGCAATAACTTATTACAAGTATTTGAGAGTCTAGGAGAGGCGGCCAAAATAAGGATATAAGTCAAAATCATATTGGTTGAATGGATTATGAGAAATACAAGGATGGTCAAAGAAAAAAAATTTTACAWGTCTAAAATAATTCCATCATAGTAATTCTAGATTATTGGTCATGGGTAGTMCTTCCCTGGCAGAGTTTCACAAATTCTACCACCAGAGTCTTATCAATGTTCCCTCTTCATTCTACAATTATACTTTTTAACTGCTTGGTATACCAAGGCCTATATAAAATGGCTCAASAATTTTTTTTCCTAAAAATGAGCCATTTTTTTCTGTTGCTGGTATTCAACATATAGGGTTTTTTAAAAATTATCCATAATTTGTCTTTACTTTCATTACCAAACCTCTAAACAGAGTGCTCAGCACACCCACCTTCATCCATTATTTCCCTGGCCCTTTGTAATCTTGCTCCACCACTTTCCCCTATTTTCTGATTTTCCTGCTTCTTGGGTTGTATTCCTCTCCTTTCTTTGCCTAATCCAATTCCATATGTCTTTTAATGCTCAACTCAAGCCGCACCCTCTTTGGGACCCAAGCTCCTTCCTCAATCATTCCACAATCACACACTTTACCACTGAAACTGGATCTGAGGTGGTTCCACACTACTACAGGTGGCCCTGTAGCTCCAGATGGATGTGAGACCTGCCCTTACTGCATCCTCTAATGCTGACATTCTATTTCCTTCCCTGGTACCAGACTCGAAACCTGAAGAGAGGTACTGGATCTTCATAAGCATTGCTACAGCCTAGCACAGGATGTAGGTTAAACTGGACAATAAATCAATCTTTATTGCTTTTAAAAAACTGACATCTCTAAATAAATAAATAAATAAATAAATAAATAAATAAATAAATAATAAAAAACTGACATCTCTAACCCTGATCTTTCTCCTGATCTCAAGTTGTGCACTTGCAACCACCCTTTTTGAGAACTATGATTAAGCACACAGGCTCTGGAGACAGACTACTTGGAATCAGTTCCAGAACTACCTCTTATTAGTTGTGTCATCTTGACTAATTAATTAACRTTTGAGTGCCTAATTTATAATAAACCACGGATAATGACAATACCAACTCAAAGGTTTTTGTATGAGAATGAAATGAGTTTATTGTTTAYAAAAACCTTAGAAATTAATAAGTAGGGAGAAAAACAGTAAATAGTAAGAGGAGTTTGGAACAAAATTGTTAAAATACAGTTATAATCACCTGGGTAGGACACTTTGGCTCAAACACCATATGTTTCAAATTGAACTCTAAATCCTTCCTCTGTGAGCAAATAAGGTTGTTTGCTCATAACCAAGAATGACATCTGTTACGGGTTAAATTATTGTTTTCATTGCCGTCTACCATGCAGAATTCACATGCTGAAGTCCTAACACTCAGTATTTAGAATTTGACTCTGTTTGGATATAAGGCCTTTACAGAGGTAATCAAGTGAAAATGAGGTCATTAGGGTGAGCCCTAATCCAAAATGACTGGTGTCATTCCAAAGGGAAAGTTTGGACGGACATGCAGATGGAAGATGATCTGAAGAGACTTAAGGAGAAGAAAGCCATCTACCAGCCAGAGAGAGAGAGGARGGGTGGGGGGTGGTCTGGAACATCTCCTTCCCTCAGAGTTCTGAGAAAGAACCAACTTAGTTAATATCTTGATTTCGGACTTCTAGCTTCCAGAACTGGGAGACAATAATTTTCTGTTGTTTGAGACACCTGGTTAGTAGTATTTTGTAATGGAAGCTCTAGCAAACCAGTACTATACCATCATCTCCTGGAATCCAGGTTAAAAACTCCACATTCTCTGATTTTCCATTTCCTGGCCACTGGAACTCTTGACAGTCTGCCCCTGAGTGACTCTCACTCCTATGGACTAGTGTCCCACCACCACCAGTTCCATCTTCTCTGTCTGAAAGGGAACCATTCCACCTCATGGCTCCCCAGCTGTCAGTTCTCAATAGGAAAGTCTGAGCATGCCATCCCCCATTCTCAGCCCATTGCTTCTAAATGTTCATTAAAGAGAGATCCACTGTTGCCCTGGCACTCCAGAGCCTTTGCCATCTGGGGTAAAAATTCTCATTTCAAGGGCTGGAGATGTGGCTCAGCGGTAGCGCGCTCGCCTGGCATGCGTGCAGCCCGGGTTAGATCCTCAGCACCACATACCAACAAAGATGTTGTGTCCGCGGAGAACTAAAAAATAAATATTAAAAAAAATTCTCTCTCTCTCTCTCTCTCTCTCTCTCTCTCTCTCTTTAAAAAAAAAAAATTCTCATTTCAACAGTATACACCACTGCTCTTCTTCATGCATCCCACTATTAATCTACACAAAACTTTACTCTGAGCATACAATGAAGGGGTGTGTCTGCTCATCTTGACATAATTTTCACATTAGCAGGCACCATTTTTTTCCCTAGACAAAGTGATCTAGAAGTTTCTATCTCTTGAATATCTACTAACTGCCAGGTCTCTCCCTGCCCACCACCACTTTTTAATATACTCCATAGGATATCTTATTAATCTACATTATTCTCTTAATCTGCTTAAACCAATCTTATTCTCATTTTACTGATAACAAGATGGAGACTCAGAAATATTAAGTAATTTTTCCATGACTCATAACAAGAAAGGAGCTGAGATGGACTTACACTTGTCTTGTTATAACACTTTTGTGAATTCCTACGCAAGATACAAAGTGAAGGAAGTCTTCTCTGGTGACCACTGATGCTGCTACTTCATTTACTGCAGTTTTTCCATTTTGATTTATATTAAATATCTTCATACTTGCTTTTAATATTCTAGAATATTTTGTGTTTCTTGAAAGAATCAATTCTAAAACTGAAAGTGTTCTTTCTATTGTGGAAAAAATCTAATGTTTGATGATATTAAGTTATTTTCTAAACTCAAAATGTTAAAGTTCTATATTTATCCATAACTGCATAATAACATTTTGTGTTAAAATAAAAAAATTGATATTTCTGATAGTTTCCATAAGGTTTACCATTCTGTGATTTATATTTTGCTTCAAGATTTTTGAAAACAATTCTATTACAGCGCATCAAAGAACTTCTAACACTTCTTAATTTATAACAGGACTTAGAAGGTAAAGAAACCATAGGGCTGAAGGGAGGAAAAAAGTATGAACAAAATAAAGTCACCAAACTTAGAAACACGATGTGACATATGAATGTCATGATCAGTTCTATTACTAGACAAAATTAAAATGGAAGTAAGGCTAAAATGGCTTGATAATAATCCTTTGCAAGATAATCACAAGCATTTTGGAATAAAGAGATGTAACAGCAATCACTGGAAAGTCCTGTATTTTTACAGAGCTTTAAATCTTCTAACCAAATTAGCAGCCACAGTTAAAAAGTTGAAGATGTGGCATCATAAAATGTGCAATGGTCATCACTTTGCTTAGTTTCATGCAGTTTTAATTACTTGTCTTCGTACAGAGTTCCCAGAGCACAAGTAAATCTGTTATATWTTTTTTTAAGTAATCATGTTTAGGCAATCACATTCTATTCAAGTAAATCTTTTCTCAGAAGTAAAATTTTAACTTGCAAATTTAAGTATTAGTTAGCTGTACCCTTGTGAATTCATTCGTTACCTTGATAGATCTATTCAGGTCAACAGCACTTTTCAACCCTCATAAGATTTCTTAAAATTGTCCTGGCTTTGTGCCTAAATATACATAAATACAAACATTCTCAGCAATTAACTGGACAGTATGGGGTAAATGTGATGTGCAAAGAATTCGCTGTGCTTCCTCCATTAGTGTTAATGACAGTTGAACAGTTAATTCCCTCACCCTGCTCTTAACTTTCACTCCTCTGCAGGGCTCATTCCAAAGTATTTAGTTTTTCCACCATACCCCAACTGCATRATGATTTTTACTTACCTCACTAATGAAGGACTTGGCTGTGGCAGGATTCATAACAAGGATGGCTCTCCTAAGAGTGTCTCGATAGCGATTCAATTCCTCTATCCTCATGGTATCAAAGAGAGTGGTGATCATTTTATTGATGTTGTTTTCTACCTTTTGAAGTGCAACGTCCATTCCTTGCTGAGACACTTTGTCCAAAAACTCTTGTATTCCACGGATATCTAGGAATATTAAAAGCCCATCAAAGTTTGAGTTACAACACAGAAGGGAGTCAAAAGTTATTTCACTAATATCAGAATAGTTTATTGTTCCACGTTACATAGGCTGTCTAAAATTACTGAGAATCTGATGGAACTCTCAAATATGTTTGTGGTTTGACCCCATAGATTGTGTGTCAAAAATGTAATTATTTTAAAAATGGATTTCTATCTATCCATTTAGAATTCTAAACTATCTTAACTCTGAAAAATGTGAGCATAGAATGGAAAGAGGTAGAGAGAAATTTCCTTTATTAAAGTATGGAAGAAGTAAAGTAACTCTATTTTACTTGGCATTAAAGAATGGTATGAATATCACTGATGACAGATGAATATGAATCAAGGTTACCAGTATTTCTTAAAATAAATACCAATATCATTAAATTGACATTTATAATCTAAATAAATAGCAACAGTGTTTTAAGAAATTGTCTTTAAACCATATTAGGTCACTTGGACCACAAGTAAAGTATCTGCATTTTGGTCTATTTTATCAGTACTACCTCCTTAGCTTAAATTTGAAAGACCTGATAGAATATAGTTTTCTTTTTAAGAGTATAAAGAATACACYATGTATGTAAAACAAATTTTAAAATACATTATAGCATTTAAGAAAACATTATAAATGGTATCACTTTTAAATGAATCTATAAAATATTCACACATCCATTCTAAAATAAGGAAAGTTCTGAAAAGTTACCAAAAAGTCCAGTGTTTACTTCACATTCAAATAAGGAAAGTAAAATCCAGTCTAAATAAAGAAATTAAAAATGTACACTTGGATATATATTTTACATACCAATAAGTATCTGCATGTTATCAATATATCTTTCTAGTGCCCCTTTAGATGTTTATAGTAGGGATTTAAAGTGCTACATATGATTGGAAAGTGTACTATGCACAAAATCTTAACTTACAAGGTAATAAGTCCAGGCTATAAAAAAATTTAAAGGAAAAATAATTAGCAAAAGTAAGAAACAAATAGGATTTAGGAACATATTATGAATAGACTGTATCTTAAAATCCCTAATTGAGTGTATCWGAAGCCTCTCAAGGGGAATAATTAATACAAAAACACTAAATAAGCCCAAAGAATCAGAAATAGCTGTAAAATTAGAAACTGACAGGTAACAAAATTTTACATTTGCAAAGTTTCAAATTAATAAAAAAACTTTTATTTCTTCTTATGGTTGCTTTTATTTTTTAAATAAATAGGCTATAATCACTTGTATGATGACTCACAGTCTTCAGAATAGACATCCTGTATAAATTCTACCTTACATTCCTCATTCCTAATTATATTAGAAACCCAAGCATTGAAGCAGGTTAAAAGGACAAAAGGTTCAGCTAGAGCAGAACAAGAGATAGAAGAGATGGAATATCAAAGGTATTGTGWGCTCATTAAATATTCAACTTGGAAAGTACTTAAAGATGTAAAACAYTGGCACATGGATTAAATAAAGGATTAGTTCTAATGGAACTTGGTAGCCACAGGCAGAATTATTACATCAGGACTTGAACACATTCAACATGTATTTTCTACCTTTGGTGTGAATATCMTTTGAATATTTAAATTGGCAAGTATGTGTGTATACGAAATCCAGTGTAGGGTCTAACACATGACAGGACAGTTCCTATTATCCATAACAGCACATTAACTGTTATGCTTCTCCACATATTAACTGACTATGCTTCTCCCACCCATAATGCAGTTGCCTAAAATCATCTCATAGCTGGCTAACCCAAAAAAGCAAGTATGAAATCCAAGGTAGCTTTTGGGATGCAGTTGTTAAGCAGTAATAGTTTTGCTTATAAGAGAGGAGAGTGACACTAAATACTCATGATAAGTAGCAATTGCTAAGTGCAATGAGAGAAGGATCTGAATCATGCTATTAGCTGCTCTGTGTAAAAGAATCATTAAAAGAGGGAGTAGGACTTTGGTTTTGTTAATTAAACATGAAGATTACCATCACAATTATTCAGTTTCATTATCTGTATGCTGATTAGTTGGCAGTTAATGAACAAAGTTCCAAGGGTTACAGAAATAAAAATGACATGATGCTTGACCTCAAGGAGCTACCAGGCTGGTACCCCTCTGACTAGTGCTATTTATTGATAACAGAAAGTTAAACAATAGTTTCAGTAGTTCCAAGTAATTATTAATTCTACTGACTAGATGATTTTATAATAGCAAGGGTTGGGGGCTCATTAACTGAGTTATTAAACATAAGATTAAGGGGAAAATAAGACTTTTCCCTGGGCACGACAAAGGAATTTATGGTAAGCAAAAGAAAGGCCGCCTTCAAAATGCCCACATTGTAATCCCCATAATCTGTGAATACACTAGGTTACCTGGCAAAGAGGGATCAAGGATGAAGGCAGAATTAAGGTTCTTAATCAGGTGAATTTAATATAGAGAGACCAACCCATATGGGTAGAATCAGTATAATCTTGGGCCCTGATAATTGGAAGAGGGAGGCACAGGAGGAGCAAGGGGGAGAGCAGACCCCTTAAGAATGGGTTGAGATGCAGTTGTTGCTGCCTTTTTAGTTAAGGGGAGGGGAGCAAGAGTGAAGAAAGGTGGGTGGGCTGGTAAAAGTGAGGAAATGGATTCTCCCCTAGGGTCCTCAGAAAATAACACAGCCTCACCAGTACTTTGATTTTAGCCCAGAAGCCAAACTATCCAACTGTACTGTGTTGTTTAAGTCTCTAATTATAGGGTAATATGCTCACCAGCAATAGAAACTTACATAGAACTAAGCTTTGATTTTTTAAGTCAGCATTTTTCAAATTTTGGTCCACTGAATTTTATTTASGAATCATTTTGAGAACTTGTTGAAAATGTCTGAGCCCATCCCCACTCAGAAACACTCTGGACAAAATCCAGTGATTTTTCYTCACTTGATGGTTCCTAAGAGACCAACTTGGGAACCAGTGCACCAATTTCTTAACTTTGTGTCACAGGCTCCTTTGAGAAAATTCATGGTGGTTATGAATCCTCTCTTTCCCCAGTAAATATACATACCCAACACAATCTGCACAGTTACGTATTATATTTTTATCTAATCTGCTTGCTTCCCTTAAGCATAGTTATTGAAGGGCCCAGATTAGTATTTTGTTACTACTTTTAGTGATTTTTTTTTCTTAGAGGCTTTTACCTCCTATATAGGTCTGTTAACTTGGAATAAGAATAGGAAATAAGATATTAGATATCCCATGTTAACCAAATAGTGCATACATTTCATTTAAATAGACATTTAAAATAAAAGTGTTAAGAAACATTACAAACATGTAAATACCTTTCCCTATAACCTTAAATCATTTTCAGTTACTAGTCAAACTCAAGTCATCCTGCAGCTTCAGGAAAAACATACCAAATTGCAGAAGGTTGGGTTCTCATGGATGCCAACTTTGAGATGGAGGTTAGATAACAGAAAGGAGATTAGGGATTGCTCTCAGGAATCACTCTTGTACATAAGAAAAGGGAGCAAAGAGGATACTGCAAAGAGATGTGGTGCTGTCATTTGGTCTCAAGGAACCTCCGAAGGGAGCTCTGGAGGCCTGATAGTCTTCAGAGTGAACCCAAGGTAGGTAGGTCTAGAAGAAGGAGAGGCTTTTTAACACTGCATGGATCCTAAGTAGTTCTCCACAGGTGAAGGCAATTCCTGGGGAGGGTAGTCAGCTGCCAGTACTCCCAACAGTTGTGGGAATAGGTCCTCCAGTTTTGAAAGGGGATTTGAGGGAAAAGATCCAAGTCTGAAATTTTCCTTACATTTTTGGGATCAAAAAATATTGTTTTGGTTTTCAGGAAAAATGATGTGAAAATCCTTGTTAAGTTATGTTTAGTCACAATTTCCGTATCTTTTTCTTGGGGGGTAGATATTGGGGATCCAACTCAGGGGCACTTAACCACTGAGCCACATCGTGTTTTATTTAGAGACAGGATCTCACTGAGTTGCTTAGCACCTCCTTTTTGCTGAGGCTGGCTTTGAACTCCTGATCCTGCTGTCTCAGTCTTCCAAGCTGATGGGATTGCAGGAGCGAACCACCACATTTGGTTTCCATCTATCTTTTATAAAACAACTTTTCATCTAGGAGGAAATAAAACTGCATTTGATACCACAAAATCAGGTTTGGATCCCCACTTTCTAGCCTATATAGATAGGCCTATTAACTTGGAATCAAGATCATAATTGATAGCTTCTGTTTTTGTGTTTCCAGTATTCTGTCTCCTTTTTTCAAATAATAAGATGCTATTTTCCTTTTTTTTTTTTTTTTTTTTTTKTACTGTAGCACTTTATTTTTCCTTACTCAATGAAGTGTTGCTGGGGCCTAATGTTCTCACATAACAGTAGAAAACCAAAAATTTGTCGTCTGATAAAGAATTAAGTACAAAAAACCTTACATAAATTAAAATGAAYAAATTTACAGATGTACATGCAAACTGTTTCTAATTCAAGGCAAGTAATAACCAATGGTGGTCAGGCGGGAGAACATTGGTAAGAACGGAAACTAGGTCCTAAGGCTTGGACTTTCCYACCCTGTTGGACCACAAGAAGTGACAGCTGGCCCAGGAACTCTTGCCAGCCCAAGCAATCCAGGAAGTCTGGCAGCTGACACATGACCCTGCGCAGATCACTGCTGTGGTCTCAGATTCGCTAAGCCACGGACTTCTCTCCTTTATGCACGCTCTCACCTCAGATACCAGGTGACTGAGCCGCATGGACTAAGGGCTTAAATCATAGATATGCACAGGGCATTAAACATATACCAAGGGAACAGTTAACTTGAATACAAGGTCAAAATCAGCAACGAGTTCTACGTTCCAGTGCTGACATCAGAYACAAGCTTCAAGAACAATTTCTTTTCAAGGCTTATTCTAGGTTCAAATTTGCTAGAGCAAATTTATACTTCAGATTCAGCACATGCAGCAGGTGCCTGGCACCTGCTCAGTCCATCTAGAA